CCTTACAGAATCACGGCCTTTGACATAATAGAATGATATTTTTAAATTTTTTTTTCTAGCTGTTTATAGTAGATATTAGCGGCCCTGGCACAAGAAATTCGTGTGCAGGTACGGTCCCTAGGCCTGGCCTGAGATCAGGGCCATCTTCCCCAGCTGCCGGCAACTGGCCCGCCCCCCCACCGTCACCCACTCCCGGTTCCCCAGTCGCCATTAGGCAATCAGAGCCTGCTGGCCAGGGGCAGGGGAGGAGGAAGAGGGACCGAGAGGTTGGTTGGTAGGCCCCGATCAGGCAATCAAGGCCTGCGGACTGGGGGCAGCTCCTGCTTTGAGTGTCGGCCCCCTGGTGGTCAATGTGCAACATAGTGACCGGTCATTCTGACGTTCAGTTCATTTGCATATTACCCTTTTATTATATAGGATATGCATAGCCCATGGACATGGGCAATAGAGTAGCCAAGACCTGGGGGTGGGTAGGTAAGGGCTAGGGAAAGGGAAGTAAGAGGGGCAAATGGAAAATATCTGTAATACTATCAACAATAAAAATATATTTTAAAAACAGATAATCATCACATTTCTAGTCACATGTTTAATGTTTCTTTCCCATTATTCAAGCTTCAAGAAGGTAGAAACGCAATCTTGTTTCTTTATGTGTTCCTAGCACCAAGGTCAGTGCCTCACACATAATCATTTGTTGAAAGAGAAGGCATGAATAAGGACAACTTTTCTGGGTAACTCTTATTCACCTATCGAGGACCAAGGCCAGATGTTATATCCTCCAGGTTGGGTTACAGTCAAATCTGATACATCTTTGGAGCCCTAGGGCCTAGTTTGGAACTTGGTACATGATTCATATATCATAGATATTTGTCGAATAATAATAAACTCTAGCCAGAAGTTGATAATTGTTGAAACTAAGTGATGGGTATATGAGTAGGGTTCATTACACTGTTCTTTCTCCTTTCATCTATATTTTTAAATTTTCCATAATAAAAAGTGAAAATATTTCTATCCACCTAAAGTCAAGCAAAAGTGTAGTCGAAGATGATCTTGGGGTTTCTGGCTGAAGCAAACCAATGGGTGGTGGTGCGGTCACTGGGGTGGATGAAGTGGGGCTGCATCCAGACCCAAATGCGCATGTGCAAGTCTAGCTTGGAGAGGGCTCTTTTCACCCCATGAAAGTTCTTTAAGGTCAATAACAGGGATGAAAGAATAAGTTTTTATTTCAACACCTTTAGTTTTAATTACTTGAGGGCATCTCCAGTCAGCTGTGCAATAGTTAGCAGCTACAATAAATTAAAACCTCTGCCTTGAACAATGAGCTATGAGAGGGTTTCTGGATGGTAACCTTCCCCCTCATGATCCTCGATGGCCTCTGGGGCACTGATCTGGCTGATCACCGGGAAACTGTTCGCTATCTGGGACTCTGCAGTGAAT